GTTATTAAGTGATTCTTGTCCTAGGCAAGATTATATGCAGAATAAACCATGACTATGGTTCAGTCGCGCTCTCTGGCTTCGTTCATCGTCCAGTAGAGTATTATGCCAGCTGAGGTGAACACGCATAACGATGTTTTTCTCTGACGTGCAGCCCTGGCCGTTTTAAAGACCACCTTATTTGAGTAGGAGCGATTTTGCCGAACTCTGGTCATTAATGAACAGTATATTACATAGCCTGCTTTTAAAGGATCTAGTCTGAATTGACAATGACGTGCATCGATAGTTTGCAGAGGGTGGTCTAGACTCATTAGTACTACATGTTATGCTTATATGCTGAACGCTTATCTGAAATGGTTATATTAGCACGCCAACACAGCGATCACTTAGGTTTGTTCAGCTTCAGCTCCATCCATATGTCTAAGTCATTTCACCACAGATCTTCGACATCTTCTTCGCCATTCTTCTTGATTCAGGTCTTTGACTTCGTTGACAGTGACAATGGCATTGACAATGAATATGTACGCATATATTACTGTCTAAAATGGTAAACTGTCCATACCGGTATGGATGGATTACTCCCATCGATGGCGACATATTGATATGCTAGTAAATAAAGGTATACTTCTTTCATTGCGATCACGGCCCCTCTGTTTCGATCCTAGCAATGAAACAGAACATTCATGACAGCAGTTCATCTCCAAATTTTCCAACTTTCGACCATGTCTCTTAATGGGCCTACATATCACTTAATGGACGGAAATGAGTCACGTTGAAAAGGAAATACGGTGTTCACTGCTTGAACAGAGTCGCTAACTAATATTGCTCCTCACCAGTTGCAAAAGCGTATTCTTGCTTCTAATATGTACCTGTGCAATGAGTGCATCAGCGCGCCTTAAATTTACTCGAGAATCGATAATGGATGTGCTTCCGATTCAAAATTTGTGAAACAGTTTGGAAGCCTTTCTGATTGCTGCCTGCCATCAGACTTTGCGTAGAGTATTTGCTCAGCAACTCGACTCTCGCCCATTTGCTGGCGAAGGACCACCATCTTAAATGTTTATTTTCATTAAGTCGGTCATTTTAACTGCATATTCTGATTCTCTTATAACAGCATTTGATACCAGCTCGTGCCATTTCAGCCCTAATATTGATTTTAAAGCATTTAAAACATCGCTTCCAGCTTTCTGTTTGCGGCATTGTTCCCGTCTCCACGTAATAAAGCAAGATGGTCAGAAAGCAAGCACTGTACATCTACAGTTTTGTGATATTGCCAGCATATTTATTCTTGTAAAGCTTGAAAACCTGCGGCTCGCTGCTAGTGCAAACGTACAGCGCCTTGGAACTCCGTTTGCCACTAGTCCGTCAGCAGCCAATGTACTTCCAAGGTACAGATGTTCAGAAACATTTATCACGACTTCTGTGTCAATGGACAGACAGTGTTTGGCTTGGATTCTACCAATTTCTATCAACTTCGTCTGCCTTAAGTTAATCGAGAAATTCTGATCAGAACACCTCCATTTCAAAGTTGGAAACAGGGATGTCGCAACTTTGAAGTTGTCTGTCAGCAATGCAGTATCATTCGCACTCGCACTCGCACAGATAAGAAGTTTAGACGGACTTTTGCCACAGTCGTAGCCTCACTCAGTCAAATTTGCTGTAACATTCAGTAAAGAAACACTGCAATCACCAGAGGAGATTCCACCCATCCTTGTCTTAATTTGAACTTTGCAAGGAAGAATTTACCGATCCACCCACTAATTTGCACCACATTTGACGAAAGGTCAGTTTTAAACTTGCAAATAATTTTTGGTGGAAGAGTCGGATATATTATGAATCACAAAGAATAGCACAATGAACTAGTTCATAAAAGTGCAAATCGACACCTATCATATGATTAGAAGAATAAAAGAAGTGAACGATCATGCAGTGTCAAGGATGCACAGATGCATTAAAAAAATCTTATTAACGTGAATAAATATTGTATGGGTCTCAAGAAATAAAATGAAAAGAATCTAAAGTTGGGTGTCAAAATGAAATATCTAGGATTTCAAGTAATATTGCGATGATTGACTGTAACGAAGCGAAGGCAATTGGACGCGTACACCCCGCACGTCACTTTAGACATGAAAAAACAAACGAGCAAGTTCTCGCCTCCCACCAAAGACCAGAAACGTGGGCGGACAAAAGAAAGAGTTCACTTGCCCTCAGCCCATCGTAAGACAAAGGCGCACCTTACACCGGAAATACAACCAGAAGGTCAACGCGGATTGGTCCCCGAGGATGAACAAAGAATCCGCAGACGTATAAAAGGACTAGTCAGCGTTGAAATAAGGAGGTTATTATGTAGGTATGAAGGGTATGATCTCTAGTGTAGGTATTTGTTGTCATTTGTACGTATGCTGAACTTGTAAGTAAAGCCTAAAACCTAGTGAGCAGATTCTGCTTTAGGTTTCCGAGCAATCCCAAGCCGGTTGCAATATGTATATACCAAAAGCGAATGGAGTAATTAACTCTTGCTGTTGAAAAATTCCTGAAGAATCCTTTATATAATAAGGGATTGAAGCAGACGATGATGAATTTTCTTTTCATAAGGGACAGTTTAACCTTAAAGACGTGATGCACTGGCCTATAACTCACAGCGTTGTTCAAAAACCATTTCACTTGAGCAGCTACTATCTAGGAAGGAATGTGTAAACCTTAGCGCATCCACTTATGACAAATGACAACTGACACTGCATAGCCTCTTAACTCTGAGTCGATTACCATTCAAGGATGAGAACGGCACGTCGCAGTAAATGGCAATGATTAAGAAAAGCACTTCAAATGTACTTTCTTTACAATATCAAAATCAGGTCAGTTAAGCGTAGTTTCCTTCATTCCGAGTCTTCAAAATGTGTGCGCTATTCTAGCAGCGGCGCGTACGTCTCATCGATTTCTCTGCAAGGTGAGGATACGGGATTATAACTAACGACTAAAATTACCTCATAGTTTACTGGCAACAGCGAATCAGTTCCAGTACACGATGGAGGGAAAACCAGAGACACGGTTAAGAAATAGCGCAACTTAAAAACAAGCTGTAGAAAAATCAAGGAAAGAAGATTTGCGTCCTTCGGTAGGCATGTGGAATATGAATTTTTAGGGATCGCAAATGAAATTATGATAAAGATGAGGAAATCAAGGTGTGAGAGCAGCCTTATTGAAAGACAATCAGCAAATGGACAAATGGAAGAAAGTGACGCATGAAGCGGTACCCAACAATAAGTTGCTAGAAACATAACGAGCATTCATCGGGAATATGAAACAGCTTGAGATAAAACTCACAATAAACAGACAAAATAATCGAGACCACTGCTACAGTTAACAGTATTTTTTGATTTTAAACTAAAACTATGCTACTCATCTGACAGGAGTCGATAATTTAGCATATCATGCATGGAATTTGTAGGCAGAATTGAAAGCAACTTTAGTTTATTACGTTTGTTCAATTTATTCACAGGGACAACGCCAAACTGCCCAGAAGCACGTACAAAAAATATTCATATTTTTTAATCAAATAGTGAAAATACGTAATATACAGTATATTGGAGTAAGTAAGACAGAACGAAATTTCAACCGCGTACCTTCTGGAACAAAGTTGTCTCGTATACCTGTAAACTGATAAAAACGTCTAGCGATTAAAGGCATAACAGAGCTTCTGAGAAGCCCTGTTCATCAGATTTGCTTA